TAATCTGTATCCTTATTAGTTTTTCTTTTCTTTTTTTTTTTTTTTTTTTTGTACGTCATTTCCTCCTCTCCCTTTTATGTAAAATTGTAACACCTAGTATCATAAATTCAGTAACATCTGTAAACTTGAAGAAGACTGACATGGCCAGTCAAAATATTGTTATATGAAAAAAACAATACACGTTGTTATGATCAGCTTTGCAGCAGTCTTTGGAATTTTCGTGTTTTAATTTCAATTTCAACTCTGATCGCTGTTGAATTGCATGAATAATAATTAGAGGTTTTGACATTGAACAGCAACAACAATTACACAATCTTACTCACTCGCTGTACAATTGTCAAATTTTTGCATCAGACCAACTAAAGGAAGAAAGCAACTAATTTTTTTTGTTTCGTTTCTAGTAGCAACTTTTGAGCAACTTTCGTAACAAAAAGCAACTTTTGCCTTTTTTTTGAGCAACATTTCAGTAACTTTTTGAGAATTTACAGGAAACTAATTCTCGAGCAACTTGTGGGAAGCCATTGAATTCATAGAAACGTATGAAAACCAGCCCATGTTTAACTAGGACGAATATTTTTATTTTAAGGAAAGTTTCAGTGAAGGCTATATTTAACTATGATAGACAATGGTCACAATTTTTGAGGGAAAGCTTCCTTCTTATTACGTTCTTACTCTCGCTTCATTACGGCTAATCTTCAGGAATAAATAATGCGTAATCCCCTGTTTCCGGATTTGATCAACCTTTTTTTACTTGCATAAAGCCTAGACAAGTAAGCTTTTTGTTCTCATGACACAGCAGTATTCCAAGATCGAGTTTATCAATGCAAAGAAGATATTGACGAGGTCACAAGAAGGAATTTTGGTTCCATTTCCGAACACAGAGAATGCAAAAAGACGCTTGATGTAAATGATTATCTATGTATTGGACGCTTTGGTTCTATTAATTAAAAATTAAGGGTGTTTCACAATTCGTAAGGTCGAGCGTTATATGTTCAAGGGACAGGTTCACCGTTAAGTGCGTGCTCATTAATTAAATCACTTTTTTCCAATTTATTATTAATTCTATCGGTTAATAATCCCACTAATTCTCAGGGATTTCATAGCGATTTGACAGTAGAAGTGTATCTCAGAGTAACCTGAAGTAGGATGGAGGAGCACTAAAATCGCAGAAAAAAAATGGTGGATTATGCCAACACTACGAATGTTGAATTTATTGTTGACCCAGAGGTTTTATTCCATGGTTGATTAATTAATTTACAGCTATTTGCAAATATTTAAGTTGATCAATTGATTAACTTAAATATACTTATATACTATATAATACTTGCAAGTGCAAGTGACTTCCAGGGGAGTGTGCAGATTGGTTCTTTGACAACATTATGACATGATCATATTGCTTGCATAGACGATACAGCATGTCCCAGCAGAAAAACAGCATTTTGATAAATGAGCACCTGTCCCTTTAAGTGAGGAAACGTTTTCCAAAATGTTGACAAGAAGTGATGAATGTTTTCCATGCAATGTTTAACGCACTGCCAGTGGTGACTAAAAATTGTCATCTAAAGCCAAACATTTATCTCTTACCTTGCATAAATCTTTTATCTGTTGAATATTTTGCTGTTGGGGTGAGGTGGTTGTCCCAAGTGATTCTCCAGAAATAAAGAAAGTAAACAAAACCGCAAAATACTGTGCCATTACGAGAAAGTAACAGTACACTGAGCGTTTATGAGATTCGTGCTTTGTGCTTGTCAATAGCGAATATCTTAAGTTAATCTTGTTTTTCTGTTTATTACCTTTTATGGTATATTTATATCTGAGACTATTGATTTCGTCTTAAGTATTTGTTTTTCTTTTTCGAAAATGCCTTTAATTTAATCCAGCAGACCTCAGACCTCGTTTAGAAAACTTCCGGCCTTTTGAAAGAAGTTCAGTAATATACACGTACAGAACAAACCTAAACTTTACTAAACACAGTTAAGCTTTTGTGTCTATCTCAATTTTCATCCTTCAATCACCCGACCGGTGTTATTACTGCATGCACGTTTTGTTTGTTCGGCTTTCTCGGGGAAATTTTAGAGCTTCTCATTACATGTTCACATTCATACTTCAAAATTGCGAAGATGGGCGGACACTGAAAGATATTAGCTAATAAACAAATTCATAATTTTTACTTAACTTTAAAACTAGTTGGACGGTACTATATCTTTCGTGATTGTGCCGACCTTGTTTGTTTGTTTGTTTGTTTGTTTTGTTTTGTTTTGTTTTGTTTTTTTTTTCTTTCTATTTCTAAAACGCCAAAAAGAGTTAAGGTCACTTTATTCTTTTTTGCGTGTATTCACTTCTAGGTGGGTGTTGTTAAATCTTCTTTAACGATCATGAGAATTTTGATTCAGCGCCAGCTAAACAAGCCCTTAAGATTGTTTTTTCTGATCGTGATTTTAAGGCAATCAGTATTTCACATTCCTTGAATGCTGATCTCTTTGGGGGTGCTCTTCTGTCGACAAGTTTTAGTAATTGTTAGTAATGAACTCTGCCTAGAGAAGAAACAGACAAAAAAAAAATTAGCATCGAACTGCAACATGATACAGAAACGAAGAGAGAGTTCTAAACAAACAGAAGTGGTTTGTTCACGAGACACTTCGCCAGTCGCATAACCGCCCAGTGTGATAGACACAGAGAGATACAACAAAACATGTTGCAAAGTACTGTCCATGATACACAAAAGAAAAGGGACTATTAATAATCACAGGAGTTCAGGCTTCAGGAGTAATCATTGATCGTTTATTGCGACAGTGCTGTTTCGTATGGTCCGAAATTGTAGGATCACACTCTTCAGGCAACTTCAAAAGAAAAGGGATATATGCCCGGGGGGTGGGGGGTACTCCTGGGAATTCTTGGTGGGGGCGTGGGGCCCAGTTTCTCAAATCCTGACCCGATTTCAGACCAATAAATGTAATTTTCCACATCTGTTTTCAGACTAGACCTCTAAAATGCATACCCTTTTCAGACCTGGCCTATAGGCAGAAAATATGTCATCATTACTTAACCGTTAGAGCGCAAACAAAAAAATTCTGCAAATCCATTTCGAATTCGCATATTCTGTTTCTTGCTTACTCATTTGGAATATTGAAACGATAAATACGTTCATACATTGCGTAGTTCCCTTGAAAACCATACCCGATTCCAGACCAAAATGGGTACGGTATACCCGTTTTCAGACCAAAACGGCGCAAAAAACCTACCCGATAGGGCCGCACATACCTATATGGCTTATATAAGGGAGTACCCCCCGGGGATATATGTTAGACACAGACATTAATGGTTCGATTTCAAGAGGCGTCACCAGTCGCATAACAGCGTAAGGACCGGTATGTGTAATTTTCCTGTAGACGCTAATGGTATCATATACAGGAGTGTAGGAGACTGAATGTAGAGGAAATTGAAACATTATGTATTATGTAAAAACTTGCACCACCGACCAAACTTAGTGGAGAATTTTCTTCGTATTTTCATGTATTTGACGGAGGAAAAGGTTAATGGTATCGGGGACTTTGACGACTTTTGTACGCCATCCAAAATCGGCGAACATTGGACCGGGGTATTTTCGACCGAGGTGGGTTGGGTAAAGAATAGCAAATTGCACCTTGAGGAGTATTAGCGGCTTTTGATTTTAAAAAGAAAGCAAGAGCAACAACGCAAAAACAATGTGTGCTGAACGTTAGGCCAATTACTTTTTAATGAAAGCCTTGCAGATTGAAGAGAATACACTGACAAAAAGGAAAAATAACAAAAACCCTCTTCCACAAGGAAAATAATGTCCACTTCTTTCAACTGATCCATCATTAAAGAAATACTCATAACTATATTAAAATTTTCAGTTGAGTTGCTTCTCTGTCCTCCGCAGAAGCTTTTAATTTGTGTGTCGTAGCCAGGATGGGGGAGGGAGGCGATGGGAAGAGGAAAGAGAAGAAAAGAGGCCTTTCTTTCCTCCAATCGTCCACCGCGTTCTTACAATTTTCGTATAATTCTATTTTTTGTTGAAATAACCTGCGAGAGCCTCTGCGGAGACAAAACCAGTTGCTATGAAATTTACTTAAGACCAATTAAGGACTCGTTGCGTGATGTTGGATTTGGCCTATCTTCACGAGCATTAACCACCGCAATTAAATCAATGAAGATGACGGCCAAGTTCAGGTCTCTTATTATTTAGTAAACTCTACATTTGGTCAATTTCAAGCCAGTTATTAACTTAATTTAAGCACACCTCAATCACTTCACTTTACCGTATACGTTCAGCGCTCTCACGTCCAAACATCTGGTTTGGAATGCAAAAGTGGTAAACTAATTATTTAGAATTTTCCCCTAGTTAAATTCGCCTTAAGAAGGATTCAACGCATCTGGTTAAAAACAACACTCTGAAATCAAGGCTTTATAGTGTGCTTTAAAATCTAAGCCGTGTAAGTCTAGACTGCCCCACCAATTTTTAGCGCTTATGAAATAAACAAATAAATGAATGAAAATAAAACAAAGGAGATTTGAGTAACAAATAAATGTAATTATATGTTCTAGAATAGTTTGAAAAAGAAAATTTTCTCATGGAAGCCAAATTCGTAGACGGTGTTATGGATAAAGATTACTTTAGTAGTTTTTATTTTTTACTTTTTACTTTTTTTTTTCCGACCCCAAATTCATATTTATTTTGCAAAAAATTATCGATCTCATCGAATACGGCAACCTGAAGTTATTACCTAGCACTGAAAATATTGCATCTATAACTTCTGAAATATGACGATTAAAAATTAATTACACATGCTGATGGCACTAACATTCGGGATTAGTATTGTGAACCTTATGCTACCATGTCGACGACTTTAGTAGTAGTAAGTTAAAACTAACAAACTCGTGCTTCATATTTTTCATAAGCTTTTCTCAGAAAGAGAGTGTCGTATTAGGACTGGGGCCTAGACACTTCTTCAATCATTATCCGGGACACTGAATTCCACCCAGTGTAAGCATTAGCCAGGGATTGGCTACTGCACTTTCCTACCCATAATTTCACTCTAACCGTGCCTTGTGGGATGTTTTCACAGTACCCCTCAAATGACCGATGATGCAGCTGATTAGCATTTCTCCCAGATGGCCAGTTGTTGTAAACAACAGCCTCAATCGTCATTGGTCCGCTGCATTCGTTTCCATTGAACTTGAAATACCATCGGCTACACTTAGTATTGCCATCGACCCTCATGTTTCCCTGGAATGAGACTTTGAGCGCTGTATCCGACTTCAACTTGTTAAAAGCACAGTCCCGGAAAACAAAACAAAAAATAAACGATTAAAATGTCTGCAACTCTAATGTTGCTAAATAGCACAAAAATTAATGCCAACTGGAGAAAGGTTGACTGGGGATGAAGGCTGAGGGAATGAGGTTGGGGTCATAGCTGTGCTTTAAAGTTTATCTCAAAAAACCTCTTTCCACCTATGATGATCCTTTGTGGTACTTATAGATAGTTCGTGTTTAGCTTTTAACGCTTTTCTTGTTACCTTAATCTTTCCGTTATCAGTACCGCTGTCTGATTTCCACACACATTGTTTCCAGTTGGTTTGTGGTACTGCACTTGCTTGACTTGCTTTGGCGCTTTCTCCTTTCTCTCCTTTGTTTCCTTTTCTTCCTTGATTTCCCACAATGCCTTGCTCTCCCTTCATTCCCACAAGCCCCGATTCACCTTTTGTTCCCATAACTCCTGGCGGTCCGCTCTTCCCAGGAGGCCCCTCGCGCCCTCTGTCTCCTCTTGGACCCTGCACTCCTTGCGATCCCTTATCTCCAATTTGTCCTTTTGAACCTTCTCTTCCCTGGGGTCCCCGCGGCCCGGGCACGCCCGGCATTCCCGGCATGCCATTTGACCCTGGAATGCCTGGAAAACCATGACTCAGTACAGATTTCTGAAAGTAAAGATGTGTAATTAAAAGAAGAGCCATAGCCTATTACAGCAGTGAACGGAGGTAATGTATTGAGAAAGTATAATTGCAGTCTGTCTTAGAGGCAAAGCCATAGGCGCACGGGCTGGGCGAACAGCCCCTTAAAAATTTTGGGAAACTCAGATTTTTTGGGCAGCAAGAGAAATTTGGGCAAAATAAAGTCAGTTTTTTAAAGAAGTTTCTTCATCTTTTTATTATTTCGAAGAGATAGATATTTTCTATTTTAACCTGAAGTCGGCGTGGTAAATCCAGTTCAATTCACAAGAGACAGTGGTTAGCTAGCACGTTTTGAGTTTCTGGTTATTAGTGAAGGGTATCATGTTGATTTACATATTTGTAGTTTTTTAATCGATGGGCTCTGTGCCCACTGTGTAATTCCAGTCGTGAATTGATTAGAATCAACTCCGCTCAACGTAACCATTCGGACCCTCGGCTAGTGTCGGAGTGAAGAAAGTTTCAACAGCGTATGGCAGATAACATCAGCAATGGGTCTGAAAATGAAGAAATGGCTGACCAATTCTCAGTTTTTACAAGAAGCCAGGGCACTCAGACAAACGCCATCGAGTCGCCCTCAAGCCCTAGTAGGTGAACACTCGCAAAGACAAACGCAGCTGACACCGGAATCACACCACCGTATAGTCTGCGTCACAGACGTAATTTAACCCCCGTTAGTAAGGTCTGCGAAGCAGTGCCGATATCCTTGTTCTGGGTTACCAACGGACTCAACGAATTACCGGTATTGCGTTTCAAATTTCCTTTCATCCTGATTGGTAAATCGACAATGGCGTTTTTAAAAGGCCAATCAACGAGAATTTCAGCGCTGCTTCGCAGACGTACTTAACAAGAGTCTAGTTTCGTCTGTAGCGCAGGCTAACCACCATATTAACATTTACTATGCGTCCATCGAGATGGTACTGTCAAAGCTTGAGCTCAGGTTTGGCGGAAATGATCAGGAAATACTCTGTGCTTTGGAAAACATCTGTCACAGCGAAACACCTGATAAAGAAAGCTTCTCCCGCGTTGCTAAATTTTACAAAATCAACGGCGAGATTCTCGAAGCTGAGGAGAAAATGTGCGCGAGTTTTCGTCATGTGCGCGGATTAGGCTACATGACTGTTCAGAAATGCTGGAGACAATGCACGAGAATGATGTATTCGATATGTTTCCAGTGTTTTCTAATGTGGTACATATCCTTGGAGTGATACCTGCTACATTGTGTTCTGCAGAACGATCATTCAGTACGTTGCGCAGATTTAAAACCTACCTCCGCAGCACCATCGGCAACAATGTGTCAGTAACGCCGCACTTATTAACATTGAAAGGGCATATGCCAACTCTTTAGTCAACAATGACATAGATCGTATCATTGATATTTTCAGCAGTCAAAATGGCAAAGACAGCTATTAACCTATTTTATGAGTTCATATAATAGATTCAGATGTAAGAATACTTTCACTTCATATGTAGGCCTATGTTGTTGTATCATATGACCCTCATTTCTTTTTGACTGTTTCGTAAAAAAAATGGGCAACTTGCGGGAATTTTTTTGGGCAAATAGTTTACCGCTCCCCCTGGCGAAAAATTGCCCGTACGCCTATGGGCAAAGCGGGAATAAAAGCGTAAATTTCCAGTTAGTAGTAAAGAACGGCGGGAATTTTTAATCAAAATTCATAAAAACCTATAATAATCCATGTGAAACAGGAAGTTTCATAAATAACCTAGCGGGAATTTTTTATCAAGGATTATTTTAGTAAGGCTACGTATATTGATAAAGAAAGCGATCGAGACAAACGGTTTGACGAACTTCCAGTTATCCCCCTAGGCAAAACAAAATATATCGATATTTAAAGAGAGAAGCAAAAAAAATAATGATTGTAATCAAGATGATGATGATGATGATGATGATGATGATGATCACGGCATTGAACATCTTCGGCATAAGATGGTGTCATATAATTGCCAGGTTATAGTAGTCCCTCACGGAACTAACCGAATGGTGAAAATTGAAAAAGGAAAAGTCGGGAAAATGCAAGGATTTAAGAAGGAACGTTGCTCGGCTGAGAAACGTAAATGCTTCAGAATCACGTAAAAGCTGGAACTTTGGTTATGGTGACTAGGACTAGGATAATGATTGCTAGGATAATAATAAAATAATAATAATAATGATAATAATGCTGCTGATGATATAATAACCAAATAATAATGATAAAAATAGTAAAAATGAAAAAAAAAAAAAAAGAAACATTAATAGCAATGATATTAATAATTATAACGATAAATCAATCATAAATTTTTAAAACCAAAAAAATCTAAGGATACATTTCCTAGATATTTTATAGTGGAAGGAGAAATTCCTTTTTAATAAACAAAGCTCAGTCTCCCCGCATTTTATTTTGCTTGTTGTCTTCATAAACAACGCTAAAAAGAAGAGCTCCTCCGTCAATCGATACCAGTCTATTATTGAGAAGGCTGTGAAATAAATTGTCAAAGACTGGGTAGATCAGAACCATCGGTGAGACCAACCTTTGGGGCAAATTTTGAAACGAAGATTTAAGAACAACAGCAACGTTGAGGTTTACGTTATCTATCAACTAATAATAAATCGTAAATCTCATAAAAATTCTGACGAAGCTGTCATTTTCATTGTGCCAATACAAACTTCGTTGCAGACTATTTTGATGCGATTTTCTTGTCCACCCACTGCCGGAGACCCAAAAATGTCCGCTAAAACAGAATAATTGTTTCATACCTCGCATAAATCTTTTAACTTTGAGGTGTTTTGTTGCTGAGGTAAGGTGGTTGTTCCCAGTGAACCGCCAGCAAAAGAGAAAACCAAGAAAACAGCGAAATACTGAACCACGATTAAAGCTCAACCAGAACACTGCGATTACTGAAATGAGTGCTACGTGCCCATCGGTTTAATAGCAAAAAATTGTTTTGTTCCTGTTTTAATGTTGCTAGTTACCTCTTTGTTATATTTTATTTCCTTTTATGGTAGAAATATTTGTTTGTTTTCCTTCTCGAACAAGCTTCCCTTTTAAAGTGAGTCGTTATATTTTTATATACTATATTTAAATCACCATATCATTTACCTCATATCTTTAACAAACAACATCATTTACCTGTGCACGTTTCATTTGAGTTCGATTTTTCTTTTGCAGTAACCTTTTTTAAACGATCTCATTATACGTTAGCACGTTTGAGAACTTGGACATCGTACTGAAACAGATGCGTTATTTTAACCAATTGAAGTAACCTTGTTATGTGCACGATATTTGTTGCCTCGTTTTTCTTGATGATGGCCTATTTTTTTTTTTTAGTTATAACCCGCAAAAAATTTAAGGTTGCAATCTCTTAAAAGCACCTCCTTCCAGGTGCTTGGTTCTTATCATTAAATTACAATTTTCATTCAGTGCCAGCCACCCAAGTTCCAACTGACAAAGTTCATAAGCTATATGCTTTGAAGATTCTGTTGCTAAGCATTTATTATAAGTAATGAAATCTTAGCAAAGAGAGAAAACGGCTAAATAGCAACAAAGCAGTTAAAATCAAGCGTTATGTCAAGGCATAATCATATGTTATTTATGTCAATACAATATAATATGTCTTTGTTGTCTCGCTGCATAGTTGGTCATCCGACTCGTGTCAACCTAACCTCTCTTTCAAGAGGCAATTAATTTCATCGCTCAATTAAAGGGGCGTACAACTGTATACATTCCTGCATTCGCTCCCTCTTGCTTTCACCCTCCCCTCCGTCCCTCTTTGCCATCTGTTGGGAGAACTTCTGTGCGATTATGATTTAGTTTTGCAACTGGGCGAATTTCTAGCCCCACCATTGCTGAAAATAACAAATTGTTTAGTATTATCGCTGTTAATTTAAATGCGTCTTTGTTTGACCGTCAGTTAAACTGCCACTCAGACAAGTGGCCAATTAATGCCATCACTCGAGTGTCATCTCTGTTGTGACTTCAATGAGAACTTCAATGAGAGCTCCGCAAATTCCTGCTAGAGAATCGGCATAAATACTTCCCCTTGATAAGGACGGAACCGTTATTCCGCATCTAGCTACTGTCTACTATCACTGCCATGCCCGTTTCTTGAATACAAATAGTTTCAAAGCTTAACCGAAATTTCATCTTTGTTTTTGTTAACGTGCACGTAAGCAGAGTTTAGTAATTTAATTACAAGAGCATAAAGACTTTGATAGTGCTGATAGCTGTTGTTTATTGTTGTTTTTTACATGAAGTTTCTCTTTGCTGGCACGCCAAAAATATTAAGTCGTGACCTTTTCATCATGTTTCCCCTGCTCAGTACGTAGGTCGTGTTTCTAAACAAGCTCGAACTTGGCTGTCGTTGCTTTGTTTTCAAATACAGAGATAATAAGGACCAGCAAACTGGCCTGCGAGTAAAAGATGCTCAAAGAGTAGCCACGAGCAACTATAATTCCATCTTTGATAGAAGAAACTATACTAATGATAATTTATTTTACACTAAGAAACAGAATCCCTGATTTTTTCCTTTGTCTTTCTTTCTGTACGTTTTTAATCTTAGAAAATGAAAAGAATTTTAGCTCGTCCAGGAAATTTAACTGTGAGTAGAAATTTGTAAAATATAAGCCCTAGCCAAAGGTTTTTACTGTTTCTCTAGAAAAGGAATACTAATAGTGTTTGAATTTTCCCGCTGACCAGCTGCTTTGGTTCTTTTTTTCGTCTATCAAAAATTCGCTCCAAAGAGGCCTTCTTCTTTCTCATTACCATTTAAATACGCGTGAATTTCTTGCACTTTCCTTTCTCATAAAGAAGAAAGTGAATTTAAAGTACAAAGTCCATAAGTAAAGATTAGATAGCCCGCCATTACACCAAGGCGTCCCCGACAAGGTTAGCGCGCTTACTCCTGGATTATTTGTATACCCTTTTCTACCTTGCCTTTTTTGTTTGTTTGTTTGTTTGTGTGTTTTTCTTTTGTTTTGTTTTCCTTTTCCTTTTTTTTCTTTTCACCAT